GGCCGAGGCAGGCAGATCACGAGGTTAGGAGATTGAGACCATCCTGGCTAACACGGTGAAACCCCGTCTCTATTAAAAATACAAAAAATTAGCCAGGCATGGTGGCGGGCGCCTGTAGTCCCAGCTACTCGGGAGGCTGAGGCAGGAGAATGGCGTGAACCCAGGAGTTGGAGGTTGCAGTGAGCCTAGATCTCGCCACTGCACTCCAGCCTGCGCGACAGAGTGAGACTCTGTCTCAAAAAAAAAAAAAAAAGAAAAGAAAAGAAAAGAAAAGAAAAAAGCAGGTGGGTGCTCTGCAAGTATGGGCTAGGTCTGGAGCTAGAATTGCAGGGAGGAAGCAGTCAGAATTAGAGGTGAGCTGGTGGAAAAGGGCCAGAGCGAGGGTGCTTTATGATGGAAGTCCAGTGCGGGCAGTCCGCGGTGGAGCAGAATTACCAGGAGTTACAGCAGGTGGGGTCAGCACCGGGTTGGAAGCGGTGTTGGGTGGGGGTGAGGGGTGATCGGGCTTTGGCGACATTGCTCTGTCTGCTCTCTTCCCTGCTGCCTCGTGCCACAGGTGTCAATCCTGAATAAGTATTCAGAAGCTATCAGGGGGAACTTGACCAAGATCATGCGGCTTAAAATTGTGGCTCTGGTGACGATAGAAATTCATGCCCGGGATGTGTTGGAGAAGCTTTACAAGAGTGGCCTTATGGATGTCAATTCCTTTGACTGGCTCAGCCAACTTCGGTTCTACTGGGAGAAGGTGCCAGATGGGCCAACTCCCCACTCTCTTACCATAAAATGGATCCTAATGCTTTTATTGCATCCATGTTCTGTAAATGCAAGGATATCCTAAGCCAACCCTTAGTCCTGTCCCAGTACCCTAATCCAGTTCTTCCTCCCATCTCCTCCCCACAATCAGGAGTGGCAAGCAGTTGTCCCAGTCAGGGCTCATTATGAATGTCACTTGAACAGGACTCAGAAACACTCCAGGCAGCTGCCGCGTTGGGTTGGGGTGGACGTGCAATATGAAACCCATTTTCCATCTTGCTCATAAACCACTCCGCTTTTCAACTCTAAAAGGGAACCCCCAATCCCTTCACTGCAGCCTCCCTGGCAACTCTGAGCCCCACTCTCAGTCATTGTCCCAGCTCTAACTCTCCTAAACCCACCTCTCTCTTTTTCTGCCCTGTTTTCCCCAGGATCTTGATGACTGTATGATCCGCCAGACCAACACGCAATTTCAGTATAGTTATGAGTACCTGGGTAACTCGGGCCGGCTTGTCATCACCCCCCTGACGGACAGGTCTGCCGTGTGGGATGAATGAGGTGGCTGGGGTGGGGGCAGCAGAAGCTGAGAAGCTTCCGGGAGTCTGACTCCGGTTCTGTCCTCAATTCTCAGGTGTTACATGACACTGACCACGGCATTGCACCTGCACCGAGGGGGCTCCCCAAAAGGCCCCGCAGGCACGGGCAAGACCGAGACCGTCAAAGACCTGGGCAAGGCCCTGGGCATATATGTCATTGTGGTCAACTGCTCTGAGGGCCTGGACTACAAGTCCATGGGCCGAATGTACTCAGGTCTGGCTCAGGTCAGTATCCTGCCACCCTGTGCCAGAAGCCCCTTAAATACCTTTTCGTTCCAGAAAATAAACTGAAACCCAAATCTGGTTCAGTGCTTTGTAGCTTCATGACATTGCATCATGGGTAATTCTTTTTTTTTTTTGAGTGTAGTGGTGTGATCTCGGCTCACTGCAACCTTCGCCTCCCGGGTTCAAGCAATTCTCCTGCCTCAGCCTCCTGAGTAGCTGAGATTACAGGCAAATGCCACCAAACTTGGCTAATTTTTGTATTTTTAGTGGAGACGGGGTTTCACCATGTTGGCCAGGCTGGTCTCAGACTCCTGACCTCAGGTGATCCACCTGTCTCAACCTCCCAAAGTGCTGGGATTACAGGCGTGAGCCACCGCGCCCAGCCACAACTAGGAAAGTCCCTTCCCCTTCCTGAGCTTCACGTAGCTTATTTGCAAAAATCAGAAGATTATAAAGGATTAAAGAAAATAATGCGTGTTAACTGGAGCAGAATAGACAGTGCACACAAGTTCCCTACCCTAGTCTCTTTCCAACCCACACCTTTTCTAGCATCACCCCAGACTGGCCCCATGTGATGGAAAGTTCTGGCCAGAAGCTACAACAGGGTACTCTGGTGCCCTTCTCCCTGCACTCTATTCTGGAGGCCGCCTCACCTCGTGAAACATTTTAAGGAAGGGTGTGTGAATCATGCTTTCTAGCCTTTGGGGCACCTCTCTTGCTCCCAGTGACTCTGCCTTGCACCCCGCAGACCGGAGCCTGGGGTTGCTTTGATGAGTTTAACCGCATCAACATCGAGGTGCTGTCAGTGGTGGCCCAGCAGATCCTGTCCATCCTATCTGCCCTGGCTGCCGGCCTCACCCGTTTCCATTTTGACGGCTTTGAAATAAATCTGGTGTGGTCCTGTGGGATCTTCATTACCATGAATCCTGGTAGGTGGCAGGGAGTGGATGGGGTTTCTGGGGTGGGAAGGACTGAGTATTCAGGGGAAATAACTGCATCCTCCTCTTCCCCCTTCCACGCGAACGTATATAGCTAAATGAAGTCTGGTTAAAAATAGCAAAGGGGAGAGAAGGATAAACACACAACTTTCTGGGAGAAGGGGAAGCAATCTTACTGTTTTCCCTAAAGGGATTAATAACCTTCTTTTTTTTTTTTTTTTGAGACGGAGTCTCGCTCTTTCACCCAGGCTGGAGCTGGAGTGCAGTGGCACGATCTCAGCTCACTGCAAGCTCTGCCTCCCGGGTTCACACCATTCTCCTGCCTCAGCCTCCCGGGTAGCTGGGAGTGCAGGTGCCTGCCACCGTGCCCGGCTAATTTTTTGTGTATTTTTTTTTAAGTAGAGATGGGGTTTCACTGTGTTAGCCAGGATGGTTTTGATCTCCTGACCTCGTGATCCGCCCACCTCGGTCTCCCAAAGTGCTGGGATTACAGGCGTGAGCCACCGCGTCCGGCCAGACCTCATCTTTTAAGATACTTAGTTATCTTCTCCCATTAGGCTAACTCCCAGAGTTCTGGTCTCTCTGCCATCTCTTTTGCAGCAGGCCCTAGGGTCCCTCATTACTGTTCCCTAGGAACAACTCTGGGGGAAGGGCCTAGGACAGCACAGGGATAGGAAAGGGTTTAGGAACTGAACGAATAAGAGGAAAAGCTGTGATTTCTATTAGGACTGATGTGAGCTATACACAGAATCTGGAGAGATGGGAAATTGACAGCTCTGTGATTTGAGTTTGAAACAGGGCCACGCAGAAAGTAAGGAAAGGACCACAGAGAAGAGAGAAGACCAAAGCGGACTAGGAAGGGCTGGGGCTGAGATGAGAAAGGATGTGATCTTGCAGTTAGGGAGAAAGTTAGGGATGGAGTTAAGGTGGGAGAAAATGAGATTGTTTGGAAAGTGGGTTTGGAGAAGCAAATCAAGATGAGGAAATATATGATTCTAAGTAAGTGGCATTGTTTTCCAGGCTATGCTGGCCGCACAGAGCTTCCTGAAAATCTTAAATCCATGTTCCGCCCAATTGCCATGGTGGTGCCTGACTCCACCCTCATTGCAGAAATCATTCTCTTTGGAGAGGGCTTTGGCAACTGCAAGGTACTCCAATAACCCCTTTTCTCCAGTGATTTTAATTCCCTTTCATAATTATTCCCTGGACAGAGGAGCTCCCCAAGGGCCTCACTATCAGCTTATCCTCTAAGGAACTTAGGCTATTGTCCGTAGGATGTAGGGGGAGAAAACTTTAGGGGAGGGAAGTTTCTCCTCTGTGATACCACTAATTAACAATGGCGTGATTCACACGATTTCATCAGGAGAGTCCGTAGAGTAAGTACCTCCTAGCTGCTTCATGTCCTGGGACCTGGCTTCCTGTCTCTGACTGTCCCGAGATGAAGCAGAGGGATTTGTGGGGAGATGGACTGTTTCCTCCTCTGTTTTGGTTCCCCAGATTCTGGCCAAGAAGGTGTACACACTCTACTCATTGGCTGTGCAGCAGCTCTCCAGACAGGACCACTATGACTTTGGCCTGCGTGCCCTCACCTCCCTTCTGCGCTATGCTGGCAAGAAGCGCCGCCTACAGCCGGATCTGACTGATGAAGAGGTAGAGCAAGGACACAGCCTTTGGACCTGACTTCCACTGTCACTGGCCCTATGTCACTTCCCTCAAGTCTTTTTTTTTTTTTTTTGGAAACAGTCTTGCTCTGTCACACGGTCTGGAGTACAATGGTGCGATCTTGGCCTACTGCAACCTCTGCCTCCCGGGTTCAAGCCTCCCTGCCTCAGCCTCCTGAGTAGCTGGGACTACAGGCGCCCGCCACCTCGCCCGGCTAGTTTTTTGTATTTTTTAGTAGAGACGGGGTTTCACTGTGTTAGCCAGGATGGTCTCGATCTCCTGACCTCGTGATCCGCCCGTCTCGGCCTCCCAAAGTGCTGGGATTACAGGCTTGAGCCACCGCGCCCGGCCCCCTCAAGTCTTTCAGACCCTTTCTTTCCCCAGATGGGGATTCCCACCTTCCCACCTGGTCCCATCCCTGTGTTGCCCGCTGCTTTGCTAATGGCTAACTGGTGTATCCATTGTTCTTGGCACCTGCCCCGAAGCCCGGTGGAGGTGAAGGGCCTAGGCCCTGGCTCCTCAAGCCTGAGTCTCTGTCTTTTCCCATTCAGGTTCTGCTGCTCTCAATGAGAGACATGAAAATCGCCAAGCTCACTTCAGTTGATGCACCCCTGTTCAATGCCATCGTGCAAGATCTGTTTCCCAACATTGAGCTGCCTGTCATTGACTATGGCAAGGTATTTGTTCCTTAATACTCTCCCTGACCGGGTGCTGTGGCTCGTGCTTGTAATTCCAGCACTTTGGGAGGCTGAAGTGGGCAGATTGCTTGAGTCCAGGAGTTTGAGACCAGCCTGGGCAACATGGTGAAACCCCGTATCTACAAAATATACAAAAATTAGCCAGGCATGGTGGTGCGCATGCTTGTACTCCCAGCTAGTCGGGAGGCTGAGGTAGGAGGATTGCTTGAGCCCAGGAGGTTGAGGCTATAATGAGCTGAGACTGTGCCTCTGCACTCCAGCCTGAGTGACAGAGCAAGACCCTGTCTCAAAAAAACAAAACAGAAACAAAAAAAAAGCGCACTCTCCCTGACCACATATGTGAATAGGCACCTGGGAACAGAAAACTTGGCTTCCAGGCCTTGTTCTGCCATCTGCTAGCTATGACTCTGAGCAAGTCAGCTGACCTCTCTTTGGACTTCCTTATCTATAAAGCAATAGACTATTCAAACATTCTGCTCTCTGACCACGACTCCCTCTCCCGCTGACCTGCTCAAATGTACCTGCTCAAGTGCATCCGAGCAACAACGCTCTGACTTCATTGAAACCTCTAGTCCGTTGCCTTAGCACTTTCTCTGTGCCCATCAGTCCTCCATGCCTCTACTTCTCACCTCAATGGGGAGTGTTGAGGAGAGGTTGCTAGAAGCCACTTGGTGTCAGAGAGCAGCGGAACGGAAGAAGGAGTTTTAGAAAGCATAAGAACTTTCTTATCTGGCAGTGTGGTAGTCTAGATACCCTGAATGATCCTTTCAATAGAAACTACTAAAATGATGGATAAAAATATAATAATGACATCCTTTTTAATGCATTGCTAAGCTGGCAAGAAAGAAAGAATTCCAGGAGTTAAGGAGGGTGGGGAGTAAAAGCAGGAACCCTGGGAGACAGGTGAGTACCAAAGCTGGCCTTCTCCCTGAAAACTGTTGTTGATCTCAAGGCAGTGGGAATAGGAGATGAAACAGCCCAAGTCTGAAGATAGAACAGAAAATGCAGTGCTGCGTAAGCCCCAGTCCACAAGGGGCAACACCCCCAGCAGATGGAAAAAAGAGAAGCCTGCGATTTAGAAGGGTATATACAGGAAAGAAACTTGCTTGTTTTGATCTCTGATGATGGAAGAAAAAGACCAAATTTCCTTTGAGATTTCCTAACCACACACCAGCTCTCACATGGTTTCCAGTCATCATTTCTCCTACTGTGTAATCAGAGAAGAAATCTCAAGCTTAGATTTTAATATTAAGTAGTTCTAGGTTGTTAGTGCCCCCAGGTGACAGGAAGAAGCAAAAGCAAATTATTTCTGGAGGAATGAAATTTCAACTCACACTTCAAAGAACTGCCACAGGTAAAAGTCCAAGAAAATGAGCAACTCATGGTCAAAAATCACAAAACACACGAGGAAACAAGAAACCGTGAGTGGGAGCCAGAACAGTAACAGACAGTGGAATCAGATCCATGAAAACTTACTTCAGATATTGAAACTGATAGGGGCAAGGTGTGGTACTTCACGCCTGTCATCTCAACACTTTGGAGGCTGAGACAAGAGGATCACTTTAGGCCAGGAGTTCAAGACCAGCCTGGGCAACATAGCAAGACCTTCATCTCTTAAAAAAAAAAAAAAATGCCAGGCATGGTGGTGTGCTCCTTAGTCGCAATTACTCCTTTCTCCAAAAGCTACTAGAAAATGTGCTCTACTTAAATACAGGAGCCGTGAAAGGGATGACAGGAAACAGAAGATTCGGTGCAAGGGGGAGGCTACAGTAATCATTGGGGTGTTGGTGAATGGAGGTCATGGGATGACGGTGGTGCACTGGGCAAAGAGAGAAGCCAATCCAGATTGGAGCAAACCTGAAGGCTTTTGGAGGACTTTTTAAATTTTATTTATTTATTTATTTTTTTGAGATGGAGTTTCACTCTTGTTGCTCAGACTGGAGTGCAACGGCACAATCTCGGCTCACCGCAACCTCCGCGTTCCAGGTTCAAGCGATTCTCCTGCCTCAGGAGTAGCTGGGATTACAGGCATGCGCCACCACACCTGGCTAATTTTGTATTTTTGGTAGAGACGGGGTTTCTCCATGTTGGTCAGGCTGGTCTCAAACTCCCGACCTCAGGTGATATGCCTGCCTCAGCCTCCCAAAGTGCTGGGATTACAGGCATGAGCCACTGCACCAGGCCGGGAGGACTTTTTAAAGAAGAAATTGATACCCGATGTGAAAATTGTTTGAAAGATTTAGTCAACTGGTAGAGTTTGGAATTGAGTTAGAGATAAGCACATTAAAAACTAAGCAAATATGGGAGCAAAAAAAAAAAAAAAAGAAAAAACACACCTAAGCAAACAGACCAGACATGGTGGCTCACACGTGTGATCCTAGCACTTTGGGAGGCGTAGGCGGGTGGATCACTTGAGGTCAGGAGTTTGAGACCAGCCTGAGCAACATGGTGGAACCCCATCTCTACAAAAAATACAAAAATGAGCCAGGTATAATGGCTCGTGCCTGTAGTCTCAGCTACTTGGAGGGGGCTGAGGCGGGAGGATTGTTTGAGCCCAGGAGTTGGAGGCGGCAGTGGTTGAGATCGTGCCACTGCACTCCAGAGATGTGTATAAGAGACAGGTGTTAGCCAGGATGGTCTCGATCTCCTGACCTCGTGATCCGCCCGTCTCGGCCTCCCAAAGTGCTGGGATTACAGGCTTGAGCCACCGCGCCCGGCCCCCTCAAGTCTTTCAGACCCTTTCTTTCCCCAGATGGGGATTCCCACCTTCCCACCTGGTCCCATCCCTGTGTTGCCCGCTGCTTTGCTAATGGCTAACTGGTGTATCCATTGTTCTTGGCACCTGCCCCGAAGCCCGGTGGAGGTGAAGGGCCTAGGCCCTGGCTCCTCAAGCCTGAGTCTCTGTCTTTTCCCATTCAGGTTCTGCTGCTCTCAATGAGAGACATGAACATCGCCAAGCTCACTTCAGTTGATGCACCCCTGTTCAATGCCATCGTGCAAGATCTGTTTCCCAACATTGAGCTGCCTGTCATTGACTATGGCAAGGTATTTGTTCCTTAATACTCTCCCTGACCGGGTGCTGTGGCTCGTGCTTGTAATTCCAGCACTTTGGGAGGCTGAAGTGGGCAGATTGCTTGAGTCCAGGAGTTTGAGACCAGCCTGGGCAACATGGTGAAACCCCGTATCTACAAAATATACAAAAATTAGCCAGGCATGGTGGTGCGCATGCTTGTACTCCCAGCTAGTCGGGAGGCTGAGGTAGGAGGATTGCTTGAGCCCAGGAGGTTGAGGCTATAATGAGCTGAGACTGTGCCTCTGCACTCCAGCCTGAGTGACAGAGCAAGACCCTGTCTCAAAAAAACAAAACAGAAACAAAAAAAAAGCGCACTCTCCCTGACCACATATGTGAATAGGCA